TTGAAATTTCGAGAAGCGTTTAACTCGTATAAAATCACATTTTTAACCGTGAAGTTGAAAACTTTTACTGCAATGAACAATGCGTTAGTTGCGATAATATGACGATTTTTTTTAAAATATGCATCGTTTGTGTATGTTTAATGTATAAAGAACGATTAGTAAAATCTATTGATATTCACTCTCAGAATGGTAAATAAAAACAATTTTTTTCTGCAGTTTTAAAGCTGCTGAGTACAATTCTGACCTTTAAAATTTTCAATTTATTGGAAAAGTATTAAAATTCATACATATACATATGTATTGAGCATCTAGTAAATATCATTGTCAAATGATATTTACTCCAACAATAATAAACATATTAATTCATGTTTTCCTGCTTATAAAACACAGCAACGGTCTTTAATAGTCTATATTCTGGAATACGTTAAATTTAATACAAATTTTCCAACTATGTAGAAATTGTTACAGTACGACCACGACGTTCTGCATTTTACTTTACAATAACAGAACGAATTGCATAGTAAACTGATGCAATCGAGTTAGCTTGCACTTACTAATGCTATCTGTTAAACTCATCATGTAATTACAGCGAATAGGTCATATTAGGTATTAGATTAATATACATTCGGCAAAAGCTAGTTACCTCGATAAATAGATAAATCTAAAAAATTGTTGAAGTCGTCCGTTAAAACATTGAGAAGTTATGAAAAGTTATTGTTTAAAAATTGTTTAAAGTAGAAACATAAGTATGGTGTAAGAACTCCGTATAATGGTTTGATATATTGACTTTAATACTTTGCCAATACATTTTTTGAAAGTGAAAATTTAATAGATCAAAAATTCTAAAAAAGCATACCGCTTTAATTTACTATTTTTAAAGCAAAAATCGGCCTATTTTATCTAGTATCTTTTGGCAATCTTGCTGTATAGCTATTTTGTTTATCTCGTCAAATAGTATAATAGAAGAGTCTTTGTGTAATAGAGAGAGAAATTCATATTGAGACTTTGCACGCGCGTGCGTAATCCAGGATTGATCACGTTTTAATTTTGATGGTTCATTAAGAAACTAGAGAATCTTCTGTTTGTTGTCATTGATTCTTGAAATAGAGTTCGCGAGGAGTTTCGAAATCGAACTTCTGGTTGGTAGTTGTACGCGCCAAAGTTAGGAGGATTGCGTGCATTTGGAAACCTCGAAAGATATTTTCCTCGGAACAGATTGTCTCCAGGTTTGTGAGGAGTTTGAGAGAATTGAACTCACGTCTTTGAAGATTAATTTCACTTCCAAGATCGCGATCGGGGTAATGGATGTGTCGTATTATCCTGAAAAGAGTTGAAACAAACGAATTAAAAAAATTTCTACAACAATCTATTTTTTGTTGGAGCAATCGGAACAATCAGATCCTTTAAATAAAAACGACAGAATGCGGATATGTATTATTTCTCATAATAGATTGTATTTCAATGTTTCAATTGATATTCAAAAAACGCAGATACATTGTGATCTGGGCAATGCAATATACCTCAACTCTCTCGAGTGTTAAGGTCTCTCCGCTTAACTGCCGCACGGTGCTGGCGTATTGGTAAAATCAGATATACTATGAATAGTAGAACGTATGTAATCGTGCATGTAAAGTCCGAAATATTTATCGGAAACGGCTAGCTTGCCTACTGATAACGGCTGTGGCAATAACGTTGACAGAACGGCGACAAATCGAATTGGGTCAAAGCGAATCGTTGATAGTATTTTATGTATTCAGTCCTCTCTCTCTCTCTCTCTCTCTCTCTCTCTCTCTCTCTCTCTCTCTCTCTCTCTCTCTTTTTGATGGGATTGTATATAATTTGATTGCAACGTGACTGAGAAAAGCAAAGAGGGGAGGGAGAGAGCGAGAGCGAGAGCGAGAGAGACAGAGAGAGAGAATATAGAAGAGCAGGGGATGAACAGCGAATAGTAAGCGGATTGCGAGATGCGCATTCAGGTGCGTACATGCATCACATGGGCACACGCATCACGTGTTCATACATGCGTACATGTATACGCGTACGGATGAAACATAGAGGTCTACGTACATTGAATTACACCATCCGCGGAATTGTTTACGTACAGTGGACTCGGGACATCGATATGGGTCATATTTGATGAACCGAAGGTTGTTCCGAAATCACCAAATGACTAGAAAATATTCATAACTTTAACCCTAAAAGATCTATTATTACAATGGATACTAGAGACAAAGCCAAAATGAACAATGGACATTCTCTAATAGCGAGATATTTTTAGTTTATACGTGATTCAAAGATTAAAAAGTTACATCGTTGGAAATCTCGAGGCAGAAATAACAAAATTTCTTCTGGTAATTTGTTATAGTACAATATCTATCTCTAATTATACAAATAATTAGGGATACGTTGCACTATAACAAATATACCTATAATGTTAGATATATATTTATAATGTTATTAAAAATACCGTTTTTTCCCCTTACATTTTTTAAATTGATATTGTATCATGGTTTTGGAACATTCTGTATAGTTTATACGAATAACTCAGGACGGAAGTAGATGAAATTACACGTGTCCGTCTCACTGTACGTCATTGTCATTAAATTACATGGGATGACTGTTCCGCTACAGAATTACGTGGACCGAAAGCATTACCATTACTCGGTAGAATGCAAGTTGATCAAATCAGAACAGATAACCAGGGAATATCGCGGAACTTTCGATTAATGGATCATCACTATACCTGCGCGAACCGCGAATAACTGTGAGAGAAGTAATTTATTTTCTGTGTGAAAATAATATGTCTCTTGTAAAGACTCTTTATTATTTTTCAAACTAAAAGTATAAATGGCGGCTAATAAAACAATGCAAATTTAATTGTATTTTATATATTTTTTCAAGCACTCGTTCGATTTTTAAAGCAAAAAGTGAAAACCGCAGTTAACTTTTCGATATCTACGTTCGATTTAACTTAATTGTAACGTTTGAACCTCGAATTTTTCACATTTATGCTAGGTTTCTAAGTCTATTCTTTATCTTCTTGTTCTTTTCATTTTATCGATCGTAAATTTTATGTGATAGTTGGCAAAAATTGCTAAAGTCTACAGAATTTCTGGTTGTATGCTTGTATCAGTAATTTGCGACTATGTGCGATTCGTTACTGTCTTCGTTAATAACCCGCTGTAATGAATGGAGAATATCTAATAGCGTATTGTGACCCGTTGTTTGACGACGGTATTTAATGACGGTATTGAATTTCGACACTACTTATATACACTAATGCTCATGGAAGTTCAGATACCCACATAAATATCTAATGGTGATATACAAATTAGGACATTATAAAACAGCAATTGTGTTACTTTTATATACATATATTTTTAAGTACTTGTACTAACAATCAATTCCTAAATTTAGAAATTATTTTTAATCTTATTTGAAGTAATTTTGTTTGAAATGTATGAAACTTATCAATTACACTGCCTAGATTTCTCAGAATAAAATCTCACTCTGAAAGAGTTAAAAGATATACTATCACTATTGAAAAAAAGATTAATTAATAAGAGTAATCTTATTAAGAGCGAGATTTCTTAGCCAAAAAATTTAGAGAATATTATCAATGTTTTACAAAATAAAGACAATGCATTATCCTAAAATACAATATATAAAGGAATAGCACAATTGCTGTTTTAATGATCTTATTTTTATTTGATCATTCGATAAAATATATGCGCGCGGATGTCCCAACAAACATGAGCAGTGTATTATATTCGTGACGAGTTTTGTCGATAGGAGTTTGATCGATGACTCAACCAACAGCCATTGCGTTCTTTAATCCTACATTCCAAGTTCTAACTGTGATATGAAGAATAGATGCTCAATACTGCTCCGTTTGTTCGCACTACGCTTTGATATTATTTTGCACGTCGAGAGTCTGAAAGCATTGTCAGATACTACTTACTATATATCACGGCAATAAATTTAGAAAAAATTGGAGTGTTTTCTGTATCTGAACGATCGATATTGACGAATTGATAGAAAAAATATTAAAGGTATTTCACATAAAGTCTCGTGCAGTATAAGAAACCGATAGCAATTCTTTTATAAGCACATTTTCTAGTTTGCATATTTGGAGTACAGAACATGACTTACTTATACTTTATGCTAAAACAAACTTTTTCCTTTAACTATTATATAATAAATTGCGTCCGATAAATAAATTTCATTTCTTTCATTGTTTTCACGCAATTTTGCTAAAAGAAAAAAATCGTTTTAGTAAAAGTATTATGTTATGCACTCCGAATGCGCGAATTTTAGGACACCTTATGTATCCGACTGTTAATTTATCATACTATGATTATATTATTTAAACTTTGTGTTAAATTGACATTTAACATTTCTGTGTTAAAATAGGTAAGAAAGTTTTGTTGAATGAGTACATTAATAAATATACAATAAATTATTTATTTTAAAATATAAATTCTGAGATATAAATGAAAAAAATAAATTCAGTGTTTATTTATCCACATACTGTAAATGTTTATTTTATTGACATGTGTTAATATAACATATTATAAATGTAAATTTTTTACTTAATATTTATATTACTTCCTAATATATTCATCTTATGTTAAATTAATACAAATTTTCTCATTATGTAATATGTCAGTTTACTATGAAACGCATAAATTAAGATCATAAAAATAATTGTAAAATGTATAACGTGCATAATATGAATATATATAACTAATAAAATATAAATCTGTAATTATAGTAAAATATAACATAAAGTCTGGCATAGAGAATCTCTGCAAAAAGTCGAGTTTAATTATCTGACAGGTGCAATGAAGGAAAAGAATATCGTTTATTGACCTTTTTTCCTCTGAACTTAGTAATTCAAAATGAAAGTTTTGCGTGACACAATTTCCGCCACGCCCGCTAGTCTGCTGGAGTGTGATGAAATTAAGTGGTCGAAGTACGTTCTGGATCCGACGCCAGCGTCATCTCTTACTATTGTTATGGCTTCCTGCTCTTTCATCTATTCCTCGCACCGTTACCAAGCTCTCTTCGATTCGCGACATCGGTGTGCTTCTAAAGATACAGTTGAAACACCATTGCTATGCACCGCAAGCATCCCTTCACCATATAGTAATATACGTATGTACATGTGTGCGTATGTACCCGTATGTTACATGTAAATAGAAGCGCGCTGAGTTCATATAGAGGACGTTTCAAAATATGCATCACGATTTAAAAAAATCACGACCGAATTTTGCAAAAATTTACATTGATCGAATAGCAAAAATAAACGTTCGCTAAATAAATTTTGAACGATTGAACGAAGGAATGATTAAATTTATTTCTCATCGATTTTCATTGTATTCAATAACAACTTTTGTCAGATTTTGTTTTACGCGATAAAATGTTTTACTTTTATGAATCCTCTCTCTCCTCTTCTGTAATTTTAATGTTACATCTCTTTTGCAAATTACTTTATATATATAAAATATATATTTTTTTAGAAATGATACCGTTTCTTTTTACACGTCAACATCATAATATATTGCAAAATATGTATACACAATATAAAATTAATAGTTAACTAACATATTACTTAATATTTATATAAAAAATTAAACACTATTTCTTGATGTTTCAAGGGTTTTTTCTCTGAAAACTGAAAGGTTTCCCGACCACACAGGACGTATTTTCTTCAAATGTCACGCGAGAGAACAAGAGCGCGCTCGAAAATTTGGTACGTACAGTATGAATTCCTCGTAGCACCAGCTGTATTTTCTCGTTTCCTTCGCGTTGCTGTGACGTGCTGTATCTTCCAACATCGACCTCGACGACAAGGACGACAAATACGTCAGGAGCTTTTTGTGAGGTACATCATCATTTCGGTGGGAGTTCAGTGTCCCTGATGTACGTATATCTTTTAAACCTGTACACGGTTTCATTTGTCCACCGAAATATCGACGCTCGTTCGTTGCTGACATTCGCACTCGAGTCTCCGCCCATTCCCAGATTGCTTGATTGGCCAGAATAATTCTCACGAGACTTTTTGTTCGTATATATTGCTAACGGGTATAAAATGTTATACGCGCTAATGTGTGGCCGACGACACATCGCACGACTCACCGTCGTCTCATCCCGCGAAAATAGCGACCGCGGAAAATGCGGTCGAAAAACATGAATTACTACAAGTCACGCGACGACGACTGTTATTTACAACTAGCTCGGCCAAGCCAGGTACTTGGAGATATATGCAGTACCGAATGAGAATACCGTAGAAGAGCTTAACGTCCGAAGAACAACTTTCTACCCGATTCTCTGTCGCAGTTATGACTTCTTGAAAAATGCGGTGAAAATACAATTTCCTTTTTATTTACTCTTGAATACGAATACATTTTGTAATATGCAATAAATACTGGATGAAATCAAAATAAAGTGGAAATAAAATGTTTTAAAAATTTATATTTTTTGCAGATTTTAATCTTTGACCCTCGTATACTGCAGATAGATTATTTAGTGAGATTAGTTTGATCATGGTAAGATTATTTTGAAATCGTGTTATATCTTTGTTCCTTAAAAAAAGTATTGTATATATCAAATTTAATTCTAAAACTTCAAGCAACACAGTTACATTTAAATTACACCTTTAATAAACAATTATAGAAATATTTATAAGATGTTTGTAACATTCATTAAACGGTTTTTTTATTTCAAAATATTTTAATGGTATTTTACGATACGTTTCGATGGTTTAATAAGTGTAATTTGACATTAATAAGGTCTTTTCAATATTTTCATATATCATAAAATTTCGACTAAACCATTTTTAAATGTAAATTATGTCAGCTCGGACGATTTCAATTTAGTAATATTGTACCATATATCGATACCTACATTTTACATATTTACGAGGAAACAAATCACTCTTAAGAGTGACATATTTCACATTTCAAATTTTTAAAATGTACATATATTGTCAAACACACAAATAGCTTACATAATTATTAACCTCTGGCTGGCACCGTGGGATACTAGACGCCCCAGCGTATGTCAATTCTAAATTAAGGCTCCTTATTGTTAGAAAATGTAGACTTGTAGTGCTGTCTGTTAAAATTAAATTTCACTAAAATAATCTTTGGTTTTATTTTACTCGTAAAAGTAACATTTCAAGAATGTTTTGAGTTTTGTCAAATCAAAATATCAAATAGCCTTCTCACGGCAAGCGATTTTATGGTTGGAATACCAGACTCCCCACTGTGCTAGCTATGCGATTCTAGAGAAGTGTGCCAGCTAAGGATTATAAATAGCTTTAAAAATGAAAAGAATAAGCACATTATTTATTTAATCTTAAAATGATATGTGATATATATAGTCCAATGTTTCTTCATATAACACTTCCCTATAAAATAAAATGATATTAAACTATTTAAAAAAAAATTGAAATCACTTATCACGTTCTCTACTGTCATAATACTAATCGTAATACTACCAGGGTGTCCAAACTGATATATAACAGACTGAATTTTTAAAAGATTGTCCTCGTTTGACCTAGTTTTTAGTATGACAGATTGGACTGAAGACCTCCTGATAATCACTGAGGTTCTATCCTTTAATATTTATCACATATATAAATCAAACCTACATGTAACGTATATTATAGGATTTTCGTATGCCATATTTTTCAAGATATTTTTAAGGCCTCTCAAGGCATAGTTTAATGCTCAATAATCTTATCCATCTAAAATTTACGTACTATAACATTCTAGGGATAAGCAAAATTTGGAATATAGCTGTTCCGAAAAATTGCTTATTGATCGATTAGCATTGGCTATAATGCGAATCGTCGTCATAGATAATACTCGCAGACGCGGTAATGGCATGGGATCGGCGATAATTTTGCGGGATCCGTCTGTTCCTGAGGTCAGTTCTGTGGGACAAAGCAACTGCATCCATTCAAATATCTGAACTCGCGCTTTCGTGATTAACGCGACCTGCCTGCCCGATGAGACATCTGGCAACCCCCAAATTTCGTACGTTCCAGCGCCGTGGTTGCTCGCTCCGGGAATTCCAACATCGCCTCCACGAACAATGGCCCGTTACGTAGGTTCCTGTCGTGTGTTTACCGAAGAAGTTTACACGTTTGAGAAACACCGTGTAGCGGGGCGAGAAGTTCACCAGTCATCGCTACACCGCACTCCTAGTTCTAGACGATTAATGTTTCGACGCAACAATCAATTTTCATCTTATCCCTCAAATTCTTTCACGCTCTAAAAAATTCGACATTGTTTATGTATTGATATAGTACGTGTGATTGAAGGATCGCACTTGCGCACGCAGTATACGTGTATCATGCAGCGAAGTACAAAATATTTTAAGAGATCCGCACGTATCAACACGTAAGCCACTTATGCGAAAACTCAAAATATGATTTTTTGAAGGAGCATTCTCTTCTAAAAGCATATTGCGATTTAGGAGATTAAATATGAATCGGACCTCGCGTAGAGAAATTGCGTTTTCATGTCCAATTTACAGCTGGTGAAATTTTCACTTTTATCGATATTTTCAGGATTTGATGAGCGACATATCTCTTTTAGAAGATAGAGGAGCATGCGAAACTTTAGGAACAAGCTCGAGTGTACCGGCCACTTTAGACAATTTACTTCGCGAACCAGCGGACTCTGAAAGTGGGGTTCGTTCACGTCATGGTAGAGACCGACCCGCCGAAAGCTTAACTCGTGGCGATCATATATCATTCTCACTGCCATGCAACCCTCTCCGAGGCCGTAATTCTCGTTCTTTTTGTTTTATAAAAACTTTATGGGCCGGAATATTAGATACGAGCCCATAATCATAGGCATCCCCTGTTCTTGTCACTTACGGAAAGTAAAATCGGCTTTGCAATAATCCATAAAATTCGCAGGAAAAGACTAATATATCAAGATAGAGGAAATTTATCTATCAACACACGTTTCTTTAAAATATTAAATACCTGTCGGTCTATTTCCCTTTTCTTCTATTTATAATCCTTTAACGATAAAGTTCTTTTTCAGAAAGTAAGGACTGATCTGATCTAATATTCTGTTTTGTCAATTTTTCATCTATAATTTATGTAAAAATTAAAAGAATGTAAATATAAAAAAATAAACAATAAAAAATATAACAATGTGAAACTTTTTCCTCTATTTATTTATACAGATAAATACGTATATAAAAAAGCCGTATTTAGTTAAAACGGATATTGATATCTAAAATATTTTTGACTGAATTTTGCGATTTTTAGTTTAAAAAGAAAAATACATTAAAATCTACTGACTTTAAGTAATTACAGTAAAACAAAGAATGCGTTTGTTTGACGAAGCTGTGGCATTTTGACTGACATTATCATTTGGAGGGTTAATTTCTCAATCGCATTGAAAAAAAAAATTATACAGAAAATTTTAAATTTCCATATATTTTTTGTTATATCTTGATTTTATTGTTTTTTGTGAAAAAATATTTTATCACATTTCTAAACGAAAAAAATAGTAGGAATATTGTTGAACTGTTATGCAGTTTGCGAAAAATTGCAAATGTCGGACTCTATTGATATTTGAATGTTACGTGACAGTTACCAATGAATAAAATTGCAAGCTTCCGTATATCTCGATAAATTGGAACAGTATGGGTTGTTATGAAATCAGAATATATCTGCACGATTGTGTGGAGATGAAAAAAAAAGCCAAGAGTCGCAAGACTGCACGTAGCGTAATGGTTAACGGTTTAATCCGTAAGCCGATATTGTTTGATGACTCAAAAAAAAATATTGTTAGCTTTGTAGTTACAATTAATCTATGCAGCGAAAAATATTTTTTAGTAGAGAAATATAATACATTCGCGATTCTGCGAGAAAGCGATCTCTTTACCGAAGGATCAAATTTGCTATTAATACATAAAAATAATCATAAATATTATTTCAAAATATGGAAGGTGTTAATTATTAAATAACTTTTACCAGATAACAAATTGACATGATACCAGATATATATTGACATGAGACAGACATCTCTTAACTTATATAGTATCTAAGTCAAAGTTGAACTGAACTGTCTTGCTCTGCAGAAACTAGAACTAGGTATAACTCGATGAATGTCATTTCGAGAGCAATTCTCGATATGGAAACCCTTTCAAGCGTACACTTAGCCTCGGGCAAGTGAACTTCATTCGGACGGTTATCATTGCGGCCAAATTTTTCATACGGAAACGAAAATGTATGAAAGCAAACTAGATTCACGAGGCCGAACGATCGGCAAAGGTACGGACGTTTCCAGGCGACGAAAATAAATATCCGAGCTTTCAGGAAAAACGCGCGGGTGCAACAACAGTCGTCGTCATATCGACAGTCGTGGCGGGAGGATCGGATGAAATTTTAATCCTCCCGTCGATATCATGCAAGCGCAAGCGCGATGCACCTAGATGAGTTCAGGGGAAAAACGTAGACGTAGCCCGGGATTACGCGATTCCTCGTTTCTTTTTGTTGCTCTTTCGCCGCGGGTTTTCTCGGTACCGACATTTATTTTGCAATAGCCACGGATAAATATTCATGGCGCGCGTTTTAGCCCTGGCTGTGCCCGCCCGGCGGCTATGACACATCGCGGTAACCACGTACGCGTTACACGCGAGGTGTAATGGACCGCTCCGTGTATAACCGCTTTTCTCTCCTCCGCTCCGGCGACGGCCGACGCGATTTATATGAATCGTAAATAGGCGCGTCATACGCGTCGACCGTAATTCCTTTCGCAAGAGCATCGTGCTATTTCCGCGCCTGCGATGGCAAAAAGGCTGATGCTCGTTTTTCCGCGCTTGCGATCATTAAGCGCCACGAGTGGAAAAAATAGTCGAGGAACAGATGAAAATATTTCAGGCGATGTTAATACGGATAATGGCTGGACGTAGTTATAGATGTAAATCCTGTATACACAGCCACTCCCGCATCGGAAAAGTAATGCGTCGGTGTAGAGTGTAAATAATGCTTAACACACGAACATCTGACATTTATAGTCGATAGCGCGAATGCGTTCAATTGTAATGTAAGTTATCATAGAATTCGTAAATTAGAGGAATAATTTATGTTAATTAAAAGTAAATATTAAAAAGCGTATTATGAGATACTCATAAAAAAGATCGTATCTTGA